CGCCCCGGCCCCGCGGCGCCCACCCTCCGGCCTGGACGGGTCGGAACGTCAGCCCTCGTGGAGCGCGAGCGCGGTGAGAGGCTGGACAGGGCGAAGCTCAGCAAAGCCAAAAACCTGAAAGATGCTGTCATCGCCACCCCCTTCTCCCCCTACGGTCCCCGGCAGGTCCGGCCCCTCCCAGGCTGACCCAGATACATCCCCGTTTGGGTCCGGAAAGGGAGGGGAGGGAAGCAAGCATCGCGCCACCCACGACTGGGGAAGAGCGAGGCTCCGCGCCAGGGCCGCTCCGTATCGCTGGGCCGCGACCCAGGGGAAGTTCTGGTGGGTCTGTGCCGGGCGCGCGGGCGGGGGGCGCTTCTGCTCAGAGTGCGTGCGCACGTTGGCCCCGGGTGCGGGGAGCAAAGCGATGTCTCATCTACCTCTACGCTTAGGCTCACGGGCTGAGAACAAGCCAGCGATTACCTCCACCCTCCTTTGTCTCAAAGGCTCTTGGCGTAAATCCAGACACTTGGGACATGGAGAAGAGATGATGACATGGCTCTGGAGGAACCATACGTCGTCCAAATGTTCCTCCCACCAGCGCATAAACTAGGGGTGTGGATGTGGATGCTGAGGAAGGTAGACAGTTCTACATTTCTCCCTTGGAGCACGGACACGGGAACCACCTGCAACACGACGCGATTCAGAGCTCCCGTCCACCTCTGCATGATGCGTCCTCAGCCCAAAAGCTGAGTCTCTCCAAGAGCTGGAGAGACCTGGAGTGTAACCATCACTTCCGAGGCCCTTTCCCACCTCCCAGGGAGTTACTGTTTGTCCAGGAGACCTGCACTTCTGTTGTGGAGGCCAATGGAATGCTGAAGCAGACCTGGAAGAAGAGTTGACCATCCCCAAAGCTAATTGAATCCACTCCCAAGGACTTCATCTGGGGACAGGAGGCAGAGAGCCACGTAGAGAAGAGATCAGCCTTGGTGAAAGGCAAAAAGGCAGACAAAGTTCAAGAGAAGCTCAATCCAGACATGGAAAGGGCCCACCCAAACACCCCTTCCTTGCCTGTGTCCAGACGGCCTGGATCAGAGGGCTTCTCTCTCTTAGACCTGTAATGCCATTGTTCTCCCATTCTCCAACTCTGTTCAATTTAGGATCCACTACTTCCAAACTAAACTCACTGCTACGGAGTTGATTCTGCCTCACAGTGACCCCACAGGACAGGGTACAACTGAACTGTAATTCTTTCCACGAGTAGAAGCCCTCTTATTTATCCCATAGGGCAGCTGGTAGTTTCAAACTGCTGACCTTTCAGTGAGTGGCTGATTGTATAGCCACTCTGCCACCAGGGTTCCACCATCCATCCCGAACTTAGCTCAGGATCCCTCCTTTTACCACCTAGCAGGTGTGCCTTTACTCCCTCTTCATTTATACCCGTCCCCTTGGCGGACTCTTCATTTTGAAGATAGAAAATTTGTTCACTAATAAAGTTAGGAAATAAATGCTCCAAGCTGGGCGGAAAAGAGATTAGAGGAAGCCACAAATCTCTTGCAATTAAAAGTACTATCTTTATTAAAGAGTTAATAAATAATGAAGTGGGCATTTTACTTCAACCTAGCTATAAAAAATGAAAAACAAACAACATCCCTTACTGTCAGCTAGTCAATTCACTGCAGAGCACCTTCTAGGGCAGGGGAGCCCTTTGAGTTTGCAACAATATAACTTTTTAGGGAGTAGAAAGTGTGCACTTTCGCTGGAAGAGTAAGCTAGTTTCAAATTGCTGGCCATGTGATTGGCAGCTCAATAGGTAACTACTGCGCAGATGGTGATAAGGTAAGGAAAGATAGGTTTCAGGGTATTTTTAGATCTATGAATTCATTATTTTTTGAACAAGAAGCCTTGGAATTGCCTGTAAAGTTCATTTGCAGCATAAAGAACCCAGGTCTCTTCCTGGAGATTAATGTTAGTTTGCTTGTAATTTTAGGATAGCACTGTAGCCAGATGAGTCAGTCTATTTTCTTAGTTAGATCCATTGTTTGTCTAATCTCCCAGGGCAAAAGGAGAACTAATTTATGACCAAACCATCTCCACCCTTTAAAAATGGAGAATTACTTCTTCAAACCATCATTTGTCTTTCCGTCTGAAGTGGCTGTTTCCTAAGGCAATGACTCCTACTTTAGCGACTCACCAAGCAATGATTCAAGGGTCCAGTGTCTCCAGTGACTCTAACATTATGCGTTAACAAGTCAGGAATGGGAAAGAAGGACATATTTCCTCAAAATTTTAAATTTCCATATCTAAGACTTCCATGTGCACAATATGGTGAATGAAGTCTTTCAGGTTGTTTTCAATGGTGTTAAACACCCTCTTTCCTTTTAAGTCACTGCCAAATGTTTTTATCGAACAACTCAGCTATTTTTTGTCAAACATTCTTTTAAGTAATGCAATATTAGATATTTAAATCACTGCATAAATTCAAGTTAATGTGTTCTAGGACTTCTGCTTCTAGCCAGGAATGAGCCATAGGTATCTGACTTGCTCACCCACTTGTGGAAACTATAGCTAGAATAGGAAAACAACAATAAAAGACAGACACATCTTCTGGAACATTGGTCACTAGAAAGCGTTGGGCTGAGGTGTTTGAGAAAAGGTATGTACATGAGGTGAACTTCCCAACCACACTAGAATTGTCCTAACTTTTCTGTCTAAGGGAACTTTTTCTTCTGAGCTGCAAAAAAGGTGGGATCCAAACAAAATGTGGTATCATTTAATGCTCCCCCAAATTAATTGCCTTCAAGTCAATTCTGACTCACAGGACAGAGTAGACTGCCTCTGTGGGCTTCTGAAACTGAAACTCTTTGTGGAAATGGAAAGCCTCATCTTTCTTTTTTTTGTTGTTGTTGTTTTTGTTTTGAAAGCCTCATCTTTCTCCCGAGGAGCAGCTGGTGGTTTTGAACTGCTGATTTTGAGGTTAGCAAACCAACAGGTAACCCACCATACCCAGTAAGGACGTAGAAATTGGAGTTCTGGGCTGTTGATGTACCTGAAATTTGCAGAGTGGAAATGTCTGGAGTGGATAGCTGTGAAGAGGAAGTGTCTGCATGTCTGTATTAAGATTTACCATGAGTCTTTGGCCAAGAGTTGGGCTGACTATAGGAAAAAGCAGTACTTTGTAACACCCATCAGAGATCATCTGCCCCATAGGATGCAGTACTGAGAGAAACTGAGGTTAAAGTCAGTGAGGTGGAGAGCCCTCACTGAGCACAATTTCATGCTAAAGACCCCAGAAGGGCCATGGCTTAATGTAAGGAGAATGCTTTGGTGTAAAGGGAATGTCTTAGCACAAAGTATAAAATCTTGTTCTACACATGCAATGCTCTAACAAATAATAAAGTTAGACCAGAGAAAATGAAGAGGGTTTATAAGAAAAGCAACAACCATAATCCAGACTCTCTTCAAATGGACATTCACAATGTCATTATAAAAAAACAAAGACTAGAAATGTGCAAAAACAAAAAAGGTGACCCATACTCACAAAAACAAATATAAGTTGACCTTGGGTGGCCCAGATGTTGGAAATTTCAAGACTGTTTAAAGTAGCTATCTTAGATATTTCCGAAAACTAAATAGATCAAGAATCTTGGTAGATAAACAGAAACCATTTTTAAATAAATGAAAATTCCAGGAAAAATAGTACAATGCCTGAAATGTAAAATTCACTGAGAGGGTGTAACAACAGAATGAAGTTGGTAGGAGAAGTGCAGTGGACTTGAAAGTAAATGTTATCTAATCTCCAGAACAGAG